TACACACACACACACACACAGTATATATACACTTTTTTACATATATATAACTAGATTTGTATGTTGACTTGGGCCCATCACACACACACTGTGACATCTGTAAAGCCGTTCCCCGAGTGTCCAACAAAAGAGGCCGACATGTTGATTCCTCTCAGCTTGAGTCTGTCGTGATAAAGCTCTCTTTGCTGTCACTGATCTACAAAACACAAATCACTTCCCTCTGCCGCGGCCTCCGGCGCTCCGTCCCTGTCCACAAACACAGACGACGTCTTAATTAGAGGTGGGGACAGCCGGACAAAAGCTCCCAGCAGTCCCAGCGCTGACACACACCTTAAAGCTCGCAGATCAAAGCCCCTTCAAATGCCCGCCATCCTGCCCTCTCGCAGGAAATACATGTGAACAATATGCAAACATCCATGCATGTGTGTGTGAGCGTCTCAGATCCCAACATAATTGGGAAAGAAAACATATGCCCTCAAAACATGAAACATGCTGTTTAATCACAAAACTGCCTCCTCGTATTATAGCGGCACACGGACACATGCAGGATAACACACGCCTCGCAACACGCCGCGCACATGTTCACATTCAATTCTACACATGCAAAAGATTTCACACGATTACTGAACAACACAACTAACTATTGGCAAGCGTCAAGATTACTAGTTCAAACCTCAAACTCGTCCTGCAGCGTTTGTGCTTAAAACATGTTCTTCTCCAAAGTTTCCAAACCTTTTTCTTTTTCTTTTCTTTTTACCAGTGAATCACCATCACTTTTCCATGACTTCTCAAGCTGTTTACAGTTTCATGTTGCTCAAATTAACATTCTTGTAGCTAAAAGAGTAAAAAATGAAACTGATGCGTGGGTTCGATTCCTTATATATAATTCACTGTAAGTTGCTTTGGATAAAAGTGTCTGCCAAATGCAGAACCAATTCTTAGAAAAGAAGTGACTCACATATAACTATGAGTTTCCAACATGTTTTATTCTACGTGACAGCAAAATTTAGCCTATGAAATATTTTACAGCAAATATGTATATTCATTATAAAAAAATGCATGCATCTATTGGCAAAAAAAAAAATGCATCTATTGGCATGGACCACAGTAAAATCTCATTGGTCAACACTGCTGCATATTAAACCTCAAGTATGTTCTGATTGGCTGTGATTTTCTTGCTCTCAATGAGGACTGAAAAATTCAGTTTAGAGTTTAGAGGTGTCAGTCTATTTCAAACCTGAGTTATTATAGTTAAATAATTCTAAAAAAAAAAAAAAATAAAAAAAAATGGAATAAAATAAAATTTTATATATAAATAAAAGAAATAAAATAAAATATAAAAAACATAAACCTGTTTTATTTTAGCAACATTTTAATTTAAATTTTTAATTGAACTTACTGTACTAAAATCAGGGTTACTGTAGTTAACTAAAAATAAAATTAAAACCATTAAAAAAATTCTCTAGTTGAAATTAAAATAAAAGAAAATACAAAAC